CAAAAAAAAAAAAACACATCTTTCTCCTCTCCGGTCGGGTCTTTCTTCGTCTTCACCATCATTTCCTCTCGGTACGGTCTCTCGCATCTTGTTCAAGCTCTGATTTTGATTTTATTGTTTATTCTTACTGATATGGAATCTTAGACAGGAACTTCAAAGGGACCAAAACGAAGCTTGGAATCAGATGGAGTGGAATGTAAACAATGCATTCAAAACCTACAAAGGTAATACGAAACTCTCTACATGAAGATCATTTGTTATACAAAGATAATTTGTGATTAAAAAGTATGGAACTTGATGTCTGATGATGGTGCGTGTGTTGGTTTTTGAATTGATACTACAACCACTTAAGAGTTAAGACCATTTCTTTGTGTCTGCTTCTTGATGTAGAGATGGAACCGAAAGCCATGATGGATATGGCACTTGTTCCACAATCTGATCCTATTGACATTGGATTAGGCTCTTCTGTTAAGGCAAATTCTGCTCCCCCTAAACGGAAGAAGACCATGACTTCAGTGTATCTTAAGTATTTCGAGACTGCACCGGATAGCAAAACTCGGAAATGCAAATTCTGCGGACAAAGCTATTCGATAGCAACAGCTACTGGTATTGCTATATCTGCTTCTCAAGTCGATTTTGCAATTTATTCTTAATCTTGGTTAGAGACTTTTTCCCCTTTTCAAGGTCCTGATGTTTGTTAATAATCTTTTATGTTCATTGTTCTGTTTTCTTCTTATTGAAGGTAATCTCGGAAGGCATCTGAATAATCGACATCCAGGCTATGATAAGGCAGTAGATGTTGTCACCAGCTCGGTACCACAGACACCACCGGTTTTACAAGTTGTTGTAAAACCGTCACAATCCCAATCGAAAGCACCGCAACTCGACTATGATCATCTTAACTGGTTAGTTCTCAAATGGCTCGCTTTATCGTCACTTCCTCCCTCTACTGTAGACGAAAGATGGTTGGGAAACTCCTTTAAATTTCTTAACCCAACCGTCCAACTATGGCCGGCTGAAAAATATAAAGCCGTTCTCCATGAGATTTTCAGAAGCATGCGGGGAGATGTAAAGACATCATTGGAGCATATCCAATCCAAAGTTTCAGTAACCTTGAGTTTCTGGAATTCATATGAAAATATTTTTTATATGAGCGTAACGGGTCAATGGATAGACGGAAATTGGTCCTCTCATAGACTGCTGCTCGACATATGTCGGATTCCTTATCCTTCTGGAGGTTCTGAGATCTATAACTCCCTTTTAAAAGTCCTTAAGATATATGCCATTGAAGACAGGGTTCTGTGTTGTACACATGACAACAGCCAAAACGCTATTCAAGCTTGCCACAGCCTCAAGGAGTACTTGGATGGTCAAAAGGTCTTGCCTTTCTGCTACATTCCGTGTGCCGCTCAAACTCTGAATGATATTATAGATGAGGGATTAGCAACTATAAAGCCCATAATATCAAAGATTAGAGAATTCACGCAAGAGTTAAACGCGTCCATTGATCTATCAGATGATTTCATTCAGTTGGCAACAGCTTATCAAGAAGGCAACTGGAAACTTCCGGTCGATGCTTCATCTCGTTGGAGTGGCAATTATCAGATGGTCAACATCTTGTGCAAGGTAAGCTTTCGATAACTTTGACCCATTTTTTATCATCAAGGTCTGAGATTTTTGAATCTGATGGCTTATATTGGTGCAGGCTGGCAAGTCCTTGGACTCGGTAATTCGAAAAAACGAGGATGTTCTAGAGAACAGAATGATCTTGAGTTCTGCAGAGAAGAACGCAGTGACTATTGTCCACAGTTACTTGGATTTGGATTCATTCCACAAGACGACCAACGATATGTGCACAAACAAGGATCTCACAGTCGGTCTAGCTCTGCTCTTTATGGATAACATATCCGAGATGATCACGACTTGCCAGAAATCATGCCACAACCCGGACTGGCTAAGAACATGTGCTGAAAACATGGCCCTGAAGGCCAGAAGTTACAACACCCAAGTCTGCAACGTATTCACTTACATTACAGCCATTCTTGACCCGCGCATCAAAACCGAGTACATTCCAGAGACTATAAGTCTCGAGAGCTATATAGATGAAGCAAGAACCCATTTCCTTCGTAACTATTCTTCTCCTCATTTCACATCTTCCATGACTAGTGGGTACCGTCCTCAGGATATAGACGAAGGAGGAGGAGGAAATATCTCGTTTGCAGAGGAAATCGCTAGAAGGAAAAGAAGAGGGAGTATGAGTAGCAATGTTGTTGATGAACTGACTCAATACTTATCGGAGTCTATAGTCCCGATGCAGACCGATGTGTTAGATTGGTGGAAGGTAAACAGCGGAAGATACCCGCGACTTTCCAACATGGCTCGGGATTTCCTCGCGGTTCAGGCGACTTCCGCTGCTCCGGAAGAAATATTTTGCGGTAAAGGTGAAGAGAATGATAAGCAAAAGTATTGCATGCCACATGATAGTACACAATCTGTTCTTTGTATCAGGTCATGGATTGAAGCTGGTATGAAACTGAAGTTCAAGTCTACTGAGATCGACTATGAGCGGCTAATGGAATTAGCTGCCACCGTGGCCGCCGATAATTCTGCCGGAGGTTTAGACAAGAACCAGCATAAGTGAGTACTAAAGAGATTAACTGGTTGTTCTTTTAGCATGAAATTGTATGTACATTGTTGCATAGTGGTGGACGATTTGTAAACACCACCATTTGTGTGTGATTTAGTAGGATGTTTCATCATTCTTAAGAGTTGGTTCACTGTGACTAATCTGGGTTTTTTTGGTCAACTCCCGTGAAAATAATAATTAAAACTTTTCTTTTCGAAAAAATATAATAATTTCAATTGCATTTTGTTAGAGAACTGAAATTATATCAGACTAGACTGAGTCAGTAGACTGAATGGTTAATTAATCCCAAAACCAAAACACTCAGTTGAAAAGAAAAAAGCAAAGACAGGATGTGGAATATACTTTGAGATTTCCTATTCCTCGTATGTTAAGAAAATTCT